AAGAGGGCGGTTGATTTGTAAATATCAAGTTTCGGATGGTTTGTATGTAATTGCCCCAACTTAAAAATGGATGCATCAAATCTGTGTAGGAAATGGTTTATTTATTTGAAGCATTGAAGGACTGATTACATGGAATGGAATGAGCCTAAAAGTCAATGTGCGCAATTCGAACATGCGACTTCACGGTGGGAAACTATAACTCAACCACTACGTCGCGGGTAAGTGCACGATAATATGAATCTTATATCCTTTAATGAAAAACTAAAAAAAAATGGGTGTTCTGTTGGAACTGAAACTAAATGGTTGCATCAGAGAGATACATTCAACTTGGCATGGTTTATATTATTTTAATGTTCAGGCACACATAATAGCTGTAGCATAAGAATGTGAAAGCAAAATCAATAAAATACAAAATATTCAATAGTATGGTAATATATTACATCAATATCTAAGGTTTAAGACAGAATATTTGAAAGGCAATGATGGCTGGAAACAAATCAGGAAAAGATGACAACTAAAAAAATGATAAATTGCCAACAAACTAACAAGCTATAAATAAACTAACAGGCGCATGGAAAACTATCAATTTTAGTATAATCTTGATAAAAATTTAAAATTTATATCCACATTAATCCGGCGACCCACAAAACACCATACTCTAGGGTGGTAATTGTAATATGCTTGACGTAAACATCATCCTTTTTAGTTATGGATAATCACATGGTGGGCAATATTTCCAATTGAATAGACCAATGATCTAAGGAAAACCCCCCCAGCCATTTGGAAGTAGTCTAAGAATCATCAAACGCACCATCCTACGAAAATCCGAAAGTCCAACCATGAAAACATCAATATAAAATATTGGTGGCGCAACAATGCCTAGATTGTGTCAAATCCTCAAGATAATAATATGGACAAATAATCAGGTCAATGGGGAAAAACTAATATTTAAAAATGTGTTTGAGGAGCGCCTCAAATCAAGGCACAGGAGAAGTGCCACAAAATTTAAGCCTCGCTGATGAGGACATGCTTACAACTTTTCACAACTATTATGCCTCAAGACAAAATGCCTCGAGCTGTTTGAGGTAACGGTCATTTTCTTAATTAAATTAAATTATACATTTGCATTATTAATATAATTAATCTAATTTTATACCCTATACAGTATACATCCAGTAATGCACAATCAACAACCATCACTTGAATGAGTTAGGGATCTTCCTCCATCGAGCATCATCCCGTGCCATTCGAGGATCATAGCTTCCACTTCGCCACTTCGTGTCTCTGTAGAGCATTGTCCCGAGCCATTCAAGCATCATAGCTTCCACTTCGTTAATATCATGACCCAGCTCGGAGCTTGGAATTAACCAAGACGGGAGAAGACAGTTGAATGGTAAAAATTAAAATTTTCTACATTCATTTTACATAATTAGCATTTAACAAATGAAAGAGTAGCTATATAAAATAAATTAAATTAATACAATTAAATTTACCTCATTTCTGATTATCCAAGTCTTCTATAAACATTTCATTTTCTATTATTCGTCTTTTAATCATTTAATTAAACCTGAAATATTATTTTAAAATAACAGTGAACTAATTATAGCAGTGAATACTCATACTCCTAAGCTATAGTAACCCAATAAAAATGAAACTAATATGCATGTCAGTTAAATTTTATGTAAATCAATCTAAAAGCATTTAAAGATTTGTATTATCTAATATAATCATTTAAGATGATTTTAAACATTAATTGTGTTTTATTGTATCATGTATATATCGATATCTTTTGAATCTGTATAAAACTGTCATAGAAGCACCGTCTAAAACTTGTAACAATGAAAGTATATAAATATCACTATTTTTTTCATTTATGTGCACGGGCATCTTAGTGCTCCCCCGCTATTATCATAAAAGAGGTGAAGTCCATCGTAAAGTATGCACAAGCAAGCACTCTATGCACTCCATAACATTCACATTTATATTTTCATGGCATTCAATATGTAATATTCAATACTATAATGCATGAAAATTTTCGTAACCAAATATTATAAACATTCATATCGATATGATCAATAAAATTTATGAATAGAAGAATCATAATGTATTGATCAAACATCAATAATATTTCATACCAATGGTTTAGAAGAAATACAAAAATGATATTATAACTTAATAGTAGGATTACTCACCTCAATCACTGATGATTCCCTTGTCAATTGTTCTCTTCAATTACTCTAATGAAAATCTATAATAATATGTATAAAAAATTATTACTATTTTATTATATGCTAATTTTATTATTAAAAAGTAATTTGCATTTATTTTACCTTTATTGTATTATATAAAAAAAATGATTTTATTATTATTATGTTAATTGTTATATTCATGTAACAATATAACTTTAATTATTTCTTATTCTTATTATTTTATTCATAATTAGTTCATTAAATGTGACATTAGTTCCTAGATTTAAATTTGTTTTCATTTTATTATTATTTGTTATTTTCATTTGCATAAAATCTATATTATCATTTTAATATTTATTCATTTTAAAAAAAAGTAAAACATAAAAATAAAAACAAACCAAACCATAATTTGCCTCAAAGGTTCAATCTTCCTAGTCGCACGTGCAGGTCCACCTCTCCTTCAGTTTGACTCAATCTCCCACACTCATCTCCTTTGCACCGAATACAATTCCTTTCTCCTTCCTCTTTCTGCTTGATGCCCCCTTTGTTCGCATGGAACAAAATCAAACCTCCCACACTCGAGAAGTAGGCACCTTCACTGTGGTTGCGGCATCGTCTTCTTCTTTCACACCTCAAAATCAAGCACTACCTTCTATCTCAACGATGCCGCCTCTAGGTTTACGCAAGTGAGACTTCTTACTTCTTCAAGCCGCTCGATAGCCCTAGATGCACATGAATCGCTAATACATTTGAAGGTAATGTCGACTCCCTTTGCATAGAAGCGGCGTGTTCTTCGAGTAAGCAAAATGAGCGAGCTTTTCTTCTTCCTCCTCCTTTCTTCTTTGATTAGGGCATGGATTTCTTTTACGACAGTTTACAAGGCTTGATCAAATATGTGAGCCGAACAATAAAGAAATAGCTTGGTCTCTGTGCTCTTCTTCCTCACAGCCTCCTACTCCATTTTCCTTCGCTCGCTTTCTCTTCCTCTCTCCCCGTCTCTTGCCCTCTAACTCTCGTTTCCTTCTCTAATGAGGTTGTTGAGAGGAGACGAGGGATAAGCCCTCTGTATAACTCCACTGTTGCCAATGCATCTGTTTCAAACGAGTAGGCATCAAAGCAATTATTTATTAATATTTTTAAAAATTAATTAAAATTAAAATTAATTTTAATATTACAATCTCTCTCATAAAAAACTTTCCTTGAAATTTAAAATATATGAATGTGATTTATATCTCAAGCCTCAAATCACTTCTCATTAAACAGGAAAAATCTATATAATCCATAAATTTTCATGAAATTTAAATCTCATTCAACAAGCTGAAATATGGATACAAGAAAATATGGTCTATAACAAGATAACTAACTTTCCCAAAAAATGAAACAAGATAACAACACATCTAAAGCAAGGTAATATAATAATAACACACATCCTCTGCAAAAGAAATACACTAGAATAACACTCCTATAACATGCGATAAAATATAACACTCATCATCCCTAGTAACATCAACATCAGCAGCAGGTTCTTTAAGCTCTCTACTAGTATGAGAATAAGCTCGAGGTTGAACATGTTTCCTTGGTTGAGCTCGAGTATGAGCTGAAGCTGCAAACCACTCCTCTGCCCACCTACAGTCTTTTGAGAATGAGCTCTAGCTGATTTATGTTCTTCTGAGGTTTTATGAAAAAGTGAAGAGCAATATCTAGCTATCTGACCAGGCTGACGACTCCAGTAATATGCATACGAGCTCATCAAACAATCACATTCATGTTATTTTCCACATTTGGCACAAGTAACTACAGTATTTTGAGAAGTGTCACCACTCAATCTATATGAACTAAACCTGGGCTTCTTCACATTGAATCCCTTTCATTGATCCACATGCTCTCCTTCATCAATACTCTTTCTTGCGGCGTCTCTTTACGCTTCTAAAAAACCTAAAAATTAATCTCTGCTCCTCTAACCCGCTCCACTAACATTGAGTAGTCATCCATCCCCAAAAGCGCCAATGGCTGCCTAATCAAATTTTTAAATCCAGAAAGGAATATGTAACATTTCTCTTTTGAAGTAGCTACCAGCTATGATTGTAGAGTGAAATTTGATTCATACAGCATAATTGTCTTCTCTCCTTACACCAACTTGATGAACTTGTCATGCATCTACCTTCGAACTGATAAGGGTACAAATCATTCTCTTAAAAGCTCCATAAAACCCTCTCTGCTTACCATCATGTTGGGTATATCCCCTAGATTGTCCTGGCGTTGCCCACACCACCACCTCTCAGCTTCTCCATCAAGCATAAATGTAACTAATGGTACTATTCTTTCATTCAAACATATCATGCTTTTTAGTACATTTTCATCCTCATCAACCAATTCTCCGCTTCAATCGAATCTTTTGTTTCATTTAACAGAAGTGGGCGCAGATCTTGAAATATTTTTAGATACATATCCACGACAACTGTATCACTACCAGCAAGTTATGGTCTAGACTTGTGAATCAATTGTCATTGTCACCATTATTTGGGCTAGGACATTCACCCTCACATTTATAGCAAGTGGTACTTCATTTCTTACCGGACTTCCCTCTTTTATAATCTCGATTTCAGCCATTTGTCTGAATTAAAATAATTACTTAATTAGTGTTAACTTAAATTATTAATTTTATTACTATAAAATTTTCTTATAATTACACTATAGCTCTTTTATTTAAGATTGTATTAATTAATTCTAAATCTTAGCTCTATTACCATTTCTATCACAACACAACCCCAAGCTTGAAATTAATCAAGACAGAAACAGATGATCAAACGATGGAAATTAAATGTTTCTACATTCATTTTCTATAATTAGGAGTTAACAAATGAAAGGGTCACTATAAAATAAGTTATAAGTAATAAAACTAAATTTACAATATTTTTTTATCTTCATATTTTCTATAATTATTTTCTTTTCTATTACTCGTCTTTTAATCATTTAATTAAACATGAAATGTTAACTTAAAACAATAGCAAGCTAACTATACTCATACTCCTAAACTAACACAATGAAAATGAAACTAAAATGCATTCCGACAAAATTTTCTGTAAATTAATCCAAGAGCATTTAAATATTTGTACTATCTAATATCATCATTCAAAGTAATTCTAACCATTGTCTTACTGTACCATTTATATAACAAAATCTTATCAATTTGTATACAATCATTAAAGAAGTACCGTTTAAAACTTGTATCAATGAAGATAAATCAATATTAATATCATTTTTCATATATGTGCACGGGTACCTTAATGTTCTCTATTGTACCAAGGGGTGAACTCCATTATAGTCAAACACGCACAAACAATCACACTATATAGTCTATAACATTTACATTTTCATGTCACTCAAAATGTAATATTTAATACCATACTGCATAAAGTTTTTCATAATAAAAGACTAAACATTCATAATGAAATGACTGATAAAATTTAAGAATAGAGGATACATAAAACATTAATCACGCATCAATAATAAATCATACAAATGGCTTAGAAGAGATACAAAAATGATATTATAACTTAAGTGTAGGAATACTCACTTCAATCATTGATGATTCCCTTGCTATTTGTTCTCTTCACTTAACGCCAATGAAAAACTATAGTCAAATGCATAAATAATTATTTTTATTTTATTATATGTTAGTCTTATTATTAAAAAATAATGTCTTTATTTTACGTTTATTATCATATCTCGGGATTCAAATTTTGTTATGACAAATATTTTGAGGGCCGAATCATTGAGAGATAATACTCCTTTGTTTAGCTCATATGAAATATAATAATTCATTTAGAAAATGAAGATTTCCTCTGCTAAAAATTTGGATTCAAATTTAATCAAATTAATTATTGTGTTTTATCATAAATTCAAAGATTCTCTCTCTCTGCACAAATTATTTGAGAATCACCGCATCTTCACAACATTATATTTGAAGACCAATAGTAATCCAAATATAACTAACAAACCTTCATGGAATTAGTATTCAATAACATAAATATTATCTTATTTATAATGATGAGTTTTATCTTGATTTTAAAAATGAGTGCAACATCTTCACTTTTGAGTAAGTTTATTTAATTCAATACCAAAAATCCTTTGCAATATAGAGGAGGTTAGAAGGCTCGCTAATTTCTAATAGTATAATGTTCCAAAATTGTCATGACCATGCAAATAAATTCTTCCCAAAGTACAAAATTTGAGTCTCTAAGCTTCGAAGGTTGATCCACAAGGTGTAATATTGTTCACTTTCCTTCAAAAAGAACTTCACAATTTAGAACTTTTTAAGATAATTTTCTCGTTCAAATGATAAGAAAATTGAAATCCTTGGATCTCTCCTTGATCCATTTTTCATCAATAATCATGGTCGACTCATTTAAGGGCATTTAAAGAATCCTTACATAATGAATACAAAAAAAAATCCCAAGAGAATAAGGTTGAAAGTGAAAACCCTAAACATATAAAAAAAGAATAAAGGCTGACAGAAAAACCCTAACCTTGCTCTAATACCATATGGAAATTAAAACAATAGAAAAATCTCTCAAGATCTTCTATTATACTTCCTTAGTATAACAAGAGAGGTATATATACATCTGCAAGTAGCCTTACAAAAGATAAATAAATCAAAAAGGATGGAAAACCGAGTCTAGACTTACTTGTTTAAGGCAACTTGTTTAAGGCCCTAGTTTAAGGCAACTTGATCCATAGCCAACTTAAGATATTTAACTTGCTACTCTTTTGAAACCCATTCATGAAATTCCTAAGTGACTTGTCAGGCCCTTACCACATCCTCAACAAAGTTTGAAATTCTTCAACAACATCTAGGCACTAGCAAATTAATTTAAAAACATTCTCTTGAACTCATCGAACGATGTAATCATCCCAAGAGGTGTTCAGGAAAAAAAAAACTCCAGGTCAACTCTTTTAAAATTGTGAAAAACAACCTACACTTCAATGTATTGTTGATATCAAATCATGAGACAGTGAATGCAAAGTAGACAATGTGGTTGGCTAGGTAAATTCGACCTCTATTGGAATCTGAGTGCAAAATTTTGAACTTGACAAGCAACATGGCTTTGGAAATGTCCTAGCAAAAAAGCATCTGACAGTTGCAATTATCAAGTTGAGAGTAATGAGTAGTATATCTCATCCTGAGAGGGCACAAATTTGCTATCCTAATTGCTGAGTCGATCGAGATCTCATTTAAATGTACCTAAGATGTGATCCTCGAGATTTGATCCAAACCTCCATGAATCATCCAACGGAGTCTTGCTTCCATATCAACGAGCTGTTTAGTGATCACAAACTCATGATTCACCATAATGATTAAGAGTGCTTTAGGTATGCTAAGTTTCTTTTTATTTTTTTCCTATTATTCATTTATATATGGTGAGCAAGTGATGTCAAATGAAGTTAAGCCACATTAAGTTACTCCATTAGCTTCAATCTTTCTTCATCTTTCAACATCATTTATTTTATTTCTATTATGAATTATTACAGAGAATTTCTCTAGTTTCATCATTAAATTCTTACAGCCCATCATGTTCTTCTGATTATTTTCCTATTTTCATACATGTTTAAAGTGTTAATCCTTTGATGTATATAGAAGTGTAATAAAAGTTTCAAACTATAATACTATGTGATTGATGTCATATTGGTAAATGTATTTGTTTCTCCTTGCAATATAGAAATATGTGATATTATCAACATTATTATTAGTCTCATTTCCTAAGCAAGTATTATAGAAAATTTATTATTACTCTACCTGCATAGCAGAAAGTATTTTTTGCAAATTTGAAGTTCTAAAATTGTATTTTGTATGCAAGCCCTTTATGATTTAATGTTGTGAATCATGCATTCTGTTCGTTGTAGATGAAAATTCTTCATTATTATAAGTTCCACTCGTTGAGATTTTTTAGTACAACAGCTTCACAAAATCAACAGCACATGTTTTAAGAGATGAACCTCACAAGCTTGCCTTCTCATTTATTGGCAAGTTTGGACCTTAACAACTTCATTCTTTTTTGAAGACCGTAGCTTTGCTGATAACCCCCAGACTCAGAAAAGCTTTTAATACAATTGCAACATATATCAAATCATTTGGTTGCTTGAAGCTTGAATCATGTCTAAAGGAATAATGTATCTTTTAAATTCTGTAATTTGATTGAATAAAATTAGAAATCAATAAAAATTTCGCACTACAAACACCTTCAAAATCACACAAAAATAAATATTTCATTTTAACACTTATTTGAAAACAAAATCATCATTAATTAAAACATGATTTCCATCTACAAGCATCCAAATGAAACCATATAGGATTTTTTTAATATGTTTAAGTATGAATTTAATAATACTTTTGGGCTTCATTTGGTGGCCTGGCAATTGTTATTTGAAAAAGTTGTCAGAAAATTGTGGTGAAAAATTAAAGTTGAGGTGTTAATAATTTCTATTTTCGTAAACTTGTAGTCGAATTGTTGTTTCTAACTCAAAAGTCATCTTAACATGTTTGGTTATAGCGTTCCAAAAGTGTTTAAAATACAAGAAAGACCAACAAGTACAAATAAGCTCAACCAAAGGGAACTAATCATCATATTCCCATATAACACAGATTTCTTGCCAAAAATTCCATCCAACCAAAAATCCTCTCAAACTGGTTGATTGATGAAGATAGAGAATTCATATCTTGTTTGCATCAATTTCTCGTTGACACTTTCTTGTTGTGTCATTACCTCTCTGCACCATTTCACTACTGAATGTTTGCAATGTGGAGTACTGTGTCACTTCACTGCATAGGTTCGACTTCAGGGTTTGAGAAGAGGCTTGCAGTTGATGTGATTTTGATACATATGTAATTATAAGGGAGACGGTATTTATGTTGTACTCCTACAAAAAGCAGAATGCAAGCAAGCTACCACGGAACACAATAATGCTTTCATGGATAGACCCATCCAGCTCCGAAAACAACTTCTAGTGGACACATTGTAGCATGTGGAATCTAAATAGTAAACAAAAATTTAAAAAACATCTTTTTCCTTAAAAGTAAAAGCAGGTCAGAGCATTGGGAAGAAAAATAAAATCTCAGAAAGTAAAAATTACAAAATATTTATTTAGAAAAGTCAAAAGCTAAATGCAGTACTTACTTTATATGGTTGCATAAAAAACATGATTAGGTTTACTTGAAGAGACAATGTACAGATTCAATAAATTGAACACATCTTTAAGCCACATAACGAGACAACAATGATAAATGATTTGGGCTCAACACATGGTAAAGTCGAGTGTGAATAGCATATAAAAATGATAAGTGGATTCAAGGTTCCAATTTCAATGACTTACAGCACGTAGAAGAGTCCTTCTATCCCTTTCACGAGCATTTTTAATTGCCTATAAACAAAACAAAATTAAACAAGCCTCTAAGGTGGCATAAATCATCAAGGGATAAACATCATAAAGGCAAATGAGATAACCAACTTCTTCAAGGGCCTTTTGCTCAGCCTCAACCTCTGTGGCATCCCTATGAAAATAATAAAAAGATCAACATCCAATTCAAAATAAGAGGAAAAAGGTTAGCATTCTAAGAAAATCACCTCCCCACAATCTGATCCTTGTTGCAGCAACACTTAGCACACACATTGAGATCCTTCGCACATCCTATGCCAAATATTTTTCATACATTCAACAAGGACATATTAACTTATAAAATAATCAGTGAAAACCCAGTCCAAAATAACTAATCATTTGTATGTAAATTGAGATACTTGCCCGAGCATACACTATGATATGCTTGGCGAACCACTCTCTTGGTGCACTTCTGGCTGAAAAAATTGCACAAATACTATCAAAAAGAATGAAAAAAAGGTGATAAACATTATATATTTAATAAAGCTTAAAAATCAAATATAAAAAAAAAATCATGAACAGAGATAGCTCATTTGGTGCTTAAAATTAGAAAAATGCATCTAAAGACGATAACACTAGTTAGAAACATAATTTGGCTGGATGTAGGGCTGTTTGAAACATGTATTAACAAGTACTTAACTAGAACTTTGCTTAAAGTTTGCCAAAAAAAAAAAACTTTTCTGAGGCATCTAAATTCAAAGGCATTTTATATCCCAATTTATTTGGCTTGGCAGAGTCTATCAAATCTGGTATAGAGCGAGATTTACAGTACCAAAACTTGTGGGGTCTCATAGGTTCTTCGATCCTCTAGGTATTGCTGTGACCTTCCTTCTCTTTTTTAGATGGCTAGCTTCCTCTCTGTGAAGCTCACATTCTTCAATGGTGTTACCCCTCCCTCTCATCAAAACATCCACGTCCCTCCTTAGAAGCCAAGTCATCATCTACTCTCTCTCCACCCACTTCATTGGCTTACTTCTCCCACATTTTCCAGGGCTTAGACTTGAGACACGTTAAGGTATTGTCCTCTCCTTCTAACTCTCCAACACCCCTTGCTTGCCAACTGCATTTTGGTTCCAATATCTATTTTTCTAATTAAATCCCATGTAAATTGAAATTTTAAATCCTAAAACAGACATTTGAACGGTTTACCATGAACTAGTCAAACTTAGTAGATGTCATACCAAACAATTTTAACAATTCAATAGCCATAGGATTTCCTAAAACCAAGATGGTTTCAATCCCTAATTGTTGCCAATCAAACTTGTATTTAGAAACCAATATTGATTTGACAAATCTTCCTAATACTCCATCAAACATAATGATTTCATTTTCGCACACAAAAACTGATAATAATAATAAAATCATCATTATTCAAAATAAAAGTTTAGAAGCTAATCATTTTAAGCGAAATCAACAAAAAAAAATGGGCTATTAAGCATTAAACTATCATCCTACCCCCATATCCTACAATTCAAAAGTTTAGCCATTTATTTTTCACTGCCGATTTAGTTTTCTTATAGCATTGTTCATTCTAAAACCTGCTTTATAGTGAGCTTTACTTACATGCTACTAAATTTCTATATTTTTAAACATCAAAACTTACATATTTATTAACTTATGAAATACTCTAACGACCAACTGACGTAAAAACATCATTAAAATTAACTTATATAAGGTGACATATACATTTTCATGCATAGGTTTTGAAGTCATTTGAATCTATATAATAAATGTAAAAATTTAGATGTTAGATATCTGAGCAATTCAGTGATACGTATGTGAATTCACCAACTGTCTATTTAAAAGCAATTAAATGAACTATATCAAACGAAAACAGGATTAGTTGGTAATAGAAAATGGAAACTGACCACTTGGCAGGCTCTACAAGAGGCTTATACTTCCCATACCGACAATAAAAAAAAGGAAAAAAAAAAAAAAAAAGATTAGAACATCTTTCATCAATTTACAGAGGGATAATCATTAACGGAAAGGAGTCAAAGCAGACCTTCGCTTCCATTCGATCTGCTCCTTGCATCTTGGGCATACCCCGGTAATATCCGAGTAAGGCCGAAACTTTCCCCCTAGTTCCTACAAAAAATAAACATAATAAGAATCAAAGAAGACGAAAGTGACACCAGAGACGTGCTTAATGGCGAGAAGGACCTTCTCGTTCTTCTTATGACCGGCGTTAGGATTCCAGGCAAATTTATTCTGATGTTTCGGCGGACCCTGCCGGGCCGACATCGATCAGTCGCAGCAACCTAAGGAGAAATGAAAGGTGGAGAGAAGAAGAATAGGCTGCGACCAGATGAGCAGCAATGTTATGGCGAATAGAAAATCGATCTACGATCCGCGCGCGATCTGCACCTGCTTGGTTCGAACTGCTGGTCTGCACACGGAAAAATTATTGCGTTTTGCGTGCCGGTGTCCGGTCAGAGAGTCAATGTTAGGTCTAATTATTAGTAGGTGTGTGGAGTGCGGCTCTGATCGGAGAGCCGCGTGCGCTCTCTGCACGTAATAATCGCTCTAATAGAGAGCTGCGTGCGCTCTCCGCACGTAATAATCGCTCTAATGTTAGTGTGACATTTTAATAAAATAAAAAAATAAAGAGATGGAATTCAATGTTTCAGATTGTATGCTGCACGTAAATTTGTGTGCGATGTTCACACTCAATAAACGCTCCTGCATAGGAGTCCTAATTGCGGAATATGGATTGACAGGTATAGGGATGTGAATTTAGTTAAGAGAGAATTTTAGCCCAAATCTCGATCAGATTAAAATAAATGAGTCGAACTATCAGTTAAAATATTAAATGTTTGATTAAATTTTTTTCGAACCAATTTTAAGTCAATCTCAATTAGATTGGAAATCGGATCGTTAATAGTTTATGGCTATAACTTTAACAAATTTAGCTCAAATATCGTTAATCAAAAATTGATTCAAAGTTTGGCTCGGATCAAAATAAACAAGCAGAGCTACTAGCAAAAACTTTGGATTGAATTTTCTTTTTTATCGATTTGAGCCGACCTTAGCTGAGCTCGAAATCAGATCATATCGATAGCTGAGGTTGGGCACTTGGTAAAATATGAATTTAACTCTTTTATATATTTGATCTAGATTTAATTTGATCAAAGGTTTAATTTGAGAAAGCATTCAAGCTTCGTTTTATTCGGTTGTTGTTTTAAACACTGATGTGCATTTTTTTTAGTTTGGTAAACTTGTGTCTCTCTACGTCACCCGAAACTTTTTTGCGCAACTTCAATTTGTTGTTGTTTTGGAACTCTTATGACAATGCTCGTTCCGCCACACGGAGCTTCGCCGAACAGCCAAGCTCCTTCAAATGAACCCAAAGACCGATTTGGCTAAGCTTCTGCTTTTTTTAAAAGCTGTTTTAAAATGTGCTTTCAAAAATATGATGTTTTGTCGTTTAACTTTTTAAAGTTGATGTATTATTTGGATTCAAGCTTTGGGAAGGAAAGAGTAGCGTTTTAGCCTAAAAAGCATTGACTCTGGTCTAGAAAGCAAATTGAGACAGAGAAAATTTGCATACGTAAGACGTGCGCAGCGCTGCGTACAACAGTATGTTACAGGAAGTGTATTTGAGAATTACATATGTGTTATACCCCTTATAACCTCCCTGTAACCTATTTGTACATTCTAGTAAGTTCCACGCTTCTGTAGGTTACAGGGAGGTTATAGGGGGCATAACGCGGATGTAACTCTCAAATACACTTCCTGTAACCTACTGTCGTACGCAGCGTTGCGTACATCTTACGTACGCAATTTTTTTTCTTGAGACAAAGCTAATGAGAACAAACAAAAAGTTGAACAAAGACAGGGAAACATAAGTGAAAAGGGGGGTAGGTGGCGAAGTAAGGAAGTAGAACGAGGTTAATTTTGACATTTCAATTTACGAAATAGCAGAACGGAAAAAAAAAAAAGCTTCGTCATGCTTTTGATTAGAAATATGGGAGAATGATGTTCCAGTTGAAAAAATATTACCTTTGAAGTCTAGAAATAAGATGTGATCCACCGGAAAAAGCGAATGAGGGAAAAAAAAAAAACTTCGGTGGATCGCAACCGTTGTCCAGACGCAACTTGCGTCGAACTCCGGATGTAATATTTTTTTCGTTCCAGTGGGGGTAAATTTCGGAGAAGTTGAACCCCAAACAAAGCCAAAGACTTTTATCAATGTTTCATTGAAAGTAGAAGAATCGAAAAGCCTAGTCAAACAAAGCATGGAATTTGTATAAACCAAATTCTATTAGTTTAGCATGTTTAGCATATTAATCTTATACTTTTTTTATTAATATGAACCAAATAACTCAAATATGACCCATATAACACAATTAATTAGGCTTTGAATCTCAATAGTAGCCAAGTTAATTTCAAATTAATTTTGAATTATTCTAATCAACTCAATAATTTTACTCTAATAATAGTTGGGTTTATATGCTTGACTCAAGCCTGACTTAAATAGTAACCCAATATTTTCAAGTAATGGAATCTAATTTAGTTTAAAATTTAAAAAAAAAATAAATAAATAAATGAAATTTATTTCAACAAGATTTAATTTAAGTTAAACATAATATTATCTCTTTTACAAGTATTTTAGTTGAATTTTAGCTTTTATGTTTTATAAAAGTTATAATTGAGGGGAAGAAACAAACCTAGTATTCATTTTCTTAGAAAATTCCACATTTAAAGGAAGCAAAAAGAAACCTTAATTATGTTTCTCATAATTATGACCATTTTATGCATAGTTCATATTTGTAAAATAATTAATGAGTCCTAACACATATAGTTTATATTATTTTTTTTATTTTTAAGATTGGAATTTTAAATAAATAAATGGAATAAAAAGAAAAAAGTACTAAAAATAATTTATTGCATCAAAATTATATATAATATATATATATATAATTTCACCTTTTAGAACAATAATATCAAAGTAAAAAATAAAATTAAATGAGGTCATTATATCACAACAACCAAATATAGATGACATCATACATATTCATTAAACCATGTTGAGGACTCAAATGTGACCCCCAAAATGTATCTCTTGCATGTTTTAATATTATCAACTTGATGAGTGATAAATACAAATAATTTAGGTAACCATGAATTATAAGATGATTATGAAAAAATAAATGTTAACATTTGAAGTTCTCGCGCTCTGAAAACAAAGAAACTGCAAATATGATAGAAACATTCGAGCGCCAGATTTATAAGACAAAACAAACATCCACAACTTTATGAAAAAATAAATGTTAACATTTGAAGTTCTCGTGCTCTGAAAACAAAGAAACTGCAAATATAATAGAAACATTCGAGCGCCAGATTTATAAGACAAAGCAAACATCCACAACCACAAACATCCACAACTCGACCAAGTCCTAAAAGCACAACAACAATCTCAAGACAAGATAAGACGATATGAAATGCATCTCAGAAAAAAAAAATTGTTTTCCTTCTAACGGTTTGCCTTGGCCACACGTTCAATCTCGTCTTTCTTCTTGATGGCATAACTACAAAGAAAACAACGACATAAACACGAATGTTACTTCCAAAAATTAAACTCATATTAACAATAGCTGATAAAATTTAATTAGTATCTAATTAGTCAAAGCAATAATGTCTAAACAATTCTCTCTTTTTATAAAGCCAGCAACCAAATCATTTAAAAATTTTTATTAATTTAAACGTGGGATGAATAAATACAGTTTATGCAGAGTTAATTTGTAGTCTGTGGTTCTGTAAAGAAAGAAAAGAAGTTTTTAGCTGTTGCTCAAGTAAAAGTTGATGAAGATAAAAATCAAAGCATACAACAAACAAAAGGAAAAGTGACATAAATAGCACACAATTCTTTAATCATAGTGTACATCAAGAATGAGCAGGCATGGATCTCAAGGACACCTATGGGGAAGGAGGAAGGGGATGCATGACCCATCGGAGCCTGTTGGGGATAGGGTGGGGGGCCTTGCGGAACGACACACCTTCGAAGGGAAAAAAGAAATGAGAAATCAAGGGTGAATCATCCCAAGAAGACTCACCAAAATCATGTTCACCTGAACAAAGAAATCGATTATCGCCCGGCTTAGCAGCCGCCTAGCTCATAGTTCGTTATTATGCATTGCACCAAAGTGCCCCCGCCATATCTACGTACCCTAGAGACACAATATGTAAATATCTACAACCTAGCCCAATAAACAACTGGCTCCCTCAATAATAAAGGCATCTAACAGTTCATTACAGTGCTACTGCCCTCTCCCTTCCTTCTTCTCATCCAACGTTCTATTCCTTGAGCATGTCTCCCGGATAGATTCAAATTCAACATCCAAAAACGTGTTGTGAGCATGGAGTCATGTCGTCAACTAAATGAGGAGCACGGCGATCCCAAAGAAAGGCAAGCAACAAAGGGCAATAGCCAACACGAACCCCCACAAGAGGACATTGAAATGAGAGCCCATATCATAATAAGTGACGGCCAATTTGCCGAAGTCTTAAGGTGCGTCACCACTTTAGCGGGGTACCAAGCCCCACAATGAAAAAACCAGTCACGGGAGGTGGCCCCGACGCATGACAATGGCAGAGCGGGATGCAGTCCAGAAGGAGCAGATGACTCATAACATCAGGATGGTGTAATGTCAGCCAAGATAGAAAAGCAATGTGTTGATCGTGTGGAGGCACCCAGCCAACCGAAAAATGCCTTCTCCCTCCGCATATCTGAGGCGGAACCCCGAAAAATTCAAGCTACTGGCCCTTGAGGCATATAGAGGGAGGTCTGACCCCAACGATCATCACGCAGCATTCGGGTGGGCCATATGCTTGCTCAAGATCTCAAACGCATTCAAGTGAAGTCTGTTTTTCACCACCTTAAGGTAGTCACCCTTGAAGTGGTTCCACAACCTTCTAGCAGGGAGCATCGGCAGTTTAGCTGACTTCAAAAGATTGTACCTCGCGCAATTTATCAACGCTCAGCAATCTGTCAAGAGCCAACAGTCATTGTGTAGCTTAAACAAGGCGAGCATGAGAGCTTGCTAGGGGTCATAGCACGCTTGCAGAGGAAAATGCTAGAAGTAAAAGATCTTAAAGTTGACACCCCCGTAAGCATCTTTAAGCAAACCTTGGGGTTTGAGATATTCTCCTAAGACCTCACCATCAACGAACCCCAAGATATGGCCGAATTGATAGAAAAGACAAACAAAGACATGTTGGCGAATGAATCAACCCCAAAAAGGGAGTCGGTGGGATGCCGAGCCAAGAAAAATTATCCACGCATCGCGAACAAGACCAAGAGAGGAACGTGGATTACTGGCTTGACGTCGTTTCGAAGAAGGCTAGACCTCCCATGACAACGAGAAATTCAGGAGACATGAACATCATGGTTATTAGGCACGAAGTCGAAACCCACAGCCGATATGGTACCACAAATGGTCGACACTTCGTTACGAACCACCGTACAAAGACACCTTGTGAGCTACCCCGCTGAGAGTATCAATGGCAGAAGTAGGGGACGACATCCAGGAAGCCCGCCCCGATGAGAGCTGGAAGCTTTCTCCGGGATGACGGGAAGTACTACAAATACCATCGTGACCGTGACCATGATCATGACACGGAAGAATGCAAACACCTCCAGAGCCTTATCGAAGAGCTGATCAAAGCGGGTAAATTAAAAAGAGTTCATGGCCCTGAGACATCCAATTCAAAGACAAGGGGAAAGCACTAGCACTGGAGACCCTGCCCCGAACTAACATAATGAACGTCATCCACATCACTGTGGTAGTTCCAACAGTCCTTGGGAGAGCAGGCCCCCTTCTGAAGAATCCATAGAAGATCTCTTAGAGAAGTTCGTTACCCTCATTTCTGATAGTCGACACGAGGAAAGTCCCTGGAGACAATCGAAAACCCTCAAGAACTTCCTCTGGGGTCGCATCAACTCCAACGGGATGACCACTAACATCTGCTTCATTGGCAGCTAGATCACCCGAAGCAACGACCATCCTAGGGATCGGATCACCGCTCACAACAATCCCCAAAAGATGCCCAATGAAAAAATCCCCATTTGCAAGAAGGAAGATCGTTAGCACGCATCCTGTATTAGTGAAGGAAAGAAGGGAAAAGAATCTTACCTAAACTCTGAATGACCTCATACCAAGTCCTACCTTCTGCATCGCAGGATGGTATATCACCCACAGATAGCTTTTCACCAAATGCGGGATTGGCTCCATCATTTGTTGGTCATCGAAAAAGATACGAACACTTGAGAGAATCCGCGAGAGGTAAGCTATAGAGGGAACTCCCACCAACGAGCCCGACAATGGAACACCCGACTTGTACTCAATCATGAAAGCAGATCTCAACATGACGCGGATCAAATCCAACGATTCCCCCTTTCCCATTTCTTCCGCTGATTTTTGTCTTTTGATCGACTTCCTTTTCGATGCTCACCCGAGGGACGACGCGATCTGATTCCAAGAGCAACCAACACACTGGCCTTATCGGCAACTTGCAATTTGGAATCAGACAACTTTTCCATCACGAAACTACTAATAAAGACAAAAGCACAGAAAGCGAAAACAAATCCAAAACGATGAAACCACATCTCACATATTTTTATTTGATGATCCCGGGCTCAAAAATATATTGCGTTTATTTATAGCATTAAATGGTAGTTGAAATATTCCCTTGCAGTAAAATTTTCTCATATTTATTGAAGTCATCATTATCAAGGAACAATAAAATTGAGGAACTTTAAAGTGTACATCAAGAATGAGTTGGCGTGGATCTCGAGAACACCCATGGGAAAGTAGGAAAGAGAGGCGTAACCCACCGTAGCCTGTTGGAGACATCCCAAAGTCATCAAAATGTACCAAACCACTGTCGAATAAGGGAAAAGCAACACATCTTTGAAGGGAAAAAAGGAATGGGAAACCAAAGACTTATCATCCAAAGAAGACACCAAAAGAATGTTCGCCAGAACAAATAAATCGCTTACCGCCTGGCCTAGCAGACGCCCAACCACACTCACAGAATTTATGGTTTGTTATTATGAATTGGACCAAAGTACCTCCGCCGTATCTACATACCCTAGGAGTAGAGTATGTAAACATCTACCAACTTAGCTCTAAAAATAATGGAGTGCCTCAATAATAAATGCATCTGACAAATCATTACAGTGCTACTGTCCTCTCTCTTCTTCTCATCCAATACTCTATTCTTTAAGAGTGTCTCCCGAAGAGATTCAAATTCAACACATAGATTGTTCATTTAACATTTAATTTCTTAAAAACCTAAAAAAAAAAAAGTGATCTTATACTTGCTAGAATTTTCTTATCAACATGTTCTTTTAATAGCAACCAAGTCCAATTCATCTGAGTTATCAATTAATATCATACAACTTTTAATCACACATTAATCATTTTATTTGGGTTTATTTGGACTCACATTAAAATTTTATAGTGTCATTGGGCATGCCTCATCAACATGTTCAATTTTATTGTAAGTTTGTTAAAAGTAGAATTTATAAAATAATTAATTTAATTTCAAAAAAAAATTAATTGAAATATTTCATTGAGATCGTCCTTGAACAAATGGATTGATAATATATCAACTACATATTCAAATATTAGCGTAAAAAAATTTCTTACGAGGAATAATTTAAGGCAAAATATCGAACTCTAGATGGTTCACATGAAATCCACTCTATAATTAAAATCATAATAAAAAAAATCACACATTCTAAATTCAAAAAAAAAAAAGTCATAAAAAAGATTAATGTTTGATCTAAACTCATTAGAATGTGCAAGAAACTTTGTGGAAGTAACACAAAAAAATAAACAAAACAAACAAACAATTGTAAAAATATATATATAAATAAAACAAAATATAAATTATATGAAATATAATGATTAAACATATTAAACAATAAAATAAAAATTATATTAAGATGAACTTTTATGTTAATAATACAAAATGATATAATGAGTACATATAAAATCAACTGAAATTTATAATTTTTATGGTAATGTTATCTAATTAGTAATTATTTAAAATCAAGAACAATTTTTTTACATTTATGACTTTAGATAATCCGTGTGTGTATGATCTACTTATAATTATTCTTTAAATTAATTTATAGTACAGGATTTAACTTTAATAACTTTATGAAAAATTTTAAATTTATTTTCATATTATAAATCAAAAACTGAAATTAATATTTAAGCCACAATTAATACCATATAAAAGAATTGTAAATAATTGGGACAATTGCATAGATAATATTAGAAACTCTAATATTTATAACATTCATAACATCTTATATATATAATTTAAATTATCATGTAAATATTAAAATATAAAATAAAACTTCAACTCTTATTTTAATTTTTTTATATCATATTCTCAATAATTTAATGATTCTGAGTATTAATTTAAATAAATAAATTTTGAGCTTCTTGCCTCATCACACTTGTTGGTTTGAAAATCTTTTGGCGTCATCATTATCATCACAGCGGTCCATTCTCAGAGTAAATGCTATATAAGAATTATCCATCTTGGTCTAGTGTCACACCTGATTCAGCCTCTATCCTCTGTAAGTACGGAGTCAAAAAACCCGAAAGCAAGTGCGGCACTAGAAAAACTCGTATAAGTATACTAAAAAAAGACAATTCTTATATAACATTTTGGTCTGATAATGGACCATCGTGATGATAATGAGGGTGTCAAAAGATTTTCAACTAATGGTTGCAATGACACACAAAGCTCAAATTTTATTTATTTACAAAATTAAAACTTATATTCTTTTTTAATTATCATTAAAGTATTGAGAATATGATAAAAAATAAGAGTTAAAATTTTATTTTATATTTCAATATTTACGTAAGAATTTAAATAATAGATATAAGAGCTTATGAATTTAATAAATATTAAAATTTTTAGTACTATCTATGTAATTGCCCCAATTAGTTACACTTCTTACATATGGTATTATTAATTGTGGTTTAAATATTAATTTCATTTTTTTATTTAGTAAATGAAAATAAAGTTTAACAATGTCATTGTCGGTTCCAAGTCAGAATGTGAAAAGTGTAGAGTTATATTAGGTAGTCGACATTTAGCATAAAACTTGTTGAAATAAAATCATAACATGAATCCTTTTGAACATTGTGTAAGTGTCAGGGTATCCCCTGGAAGCGACGCGTTATAGAACTTGAATAAAGTGAAAAATGTGCACAGGTTAAGTCATATTACAAAGATTTCTCATAATCAATTTGGATTTATGTCGGGCAGGTCTACTATGGAAGCTATACATTTATTGAGAGGTTTGATGGATAAGTTCAGAGAAAATAAGAAGCAACTAAATCTGATTTATATTGATTTAGAAAAAGCTTACCATAAGGTTCGAAGATATATCCTTTGGAGAGTTCTTGAGAAGAAAGGTGTTGATATGACTTATATTCAAGTCATTAAATATATGTACTAGAGCTGTTACTTGTGTTCGAACTGAAGGAGAGGATTGACCAATTATTTTCCTATTTATGTGGAATTACATCAGGGATCGGCTTTAAACCCATATCTTTTTGCTTTACTAGACATTTACAAGAGGATGTAACTTGGTGTATGGTTTTTGCTGATGATATCCTTCTCGTGGATAAGATGAGAGAAAAAGTCAACGAAAAACTTGAATTATGGAGGTCTACATTGGAGTCTAAAGGCCTTCATTTTAGTAGAACTAAAACTGGATACATGGAATATAATTTTTGTAGTAGTAGCTCTAGTGACAGAAGTGTAACTTTGGGTGATCAAATTATTAAAAGATGTGAACCATTTAAATATTTAGGGCCTGTTGTTCAAAGCGATGGTGATATAGATTGGGGTGTTAATAGTAGAATTCAAGTTGGTTGGTTGAAGTGGAGGAATGTTTCGGGCCTTTTGTGTGATAGAAAAGTATCGCTTAGATTGAAAAGAAAACTTTATAAGATGGTAGTGAGACATGCAATGTTTTATGGCGTTGAGTGTTAGCCTTTAAAAGAGAAGCATAATACTAAGTTAAGTGTTGTCGAGATGAGAATGATTAGGCGGATGAATGGCTTTACACTTGGAAAAAAAATACGAAATGAATATCTTCGTGATAGGGTTGGTGTAGCTCCAGTGAAGGAAAAAATTAGAGAGTCGTCTTAGATTGTTTGGTCACATTAAACGTCGACCATCTAATGATCTGATTATGAGAGTAGATGTTTTAGGTTCGACTTATGTTAATAAAGACAGAGGTAGACCTACTAGACTTCGGCTTATTGTACAAAAAATGATCTTAATTTATTAGAAGTAAATGAAAATATGACACTAAATAGGACAAGGGAAAAAAAGGATTCATGCAGCCGACCCCACGTAGTGGGATTAAGGTTTTATTGTTGTTCTTGTTGTATATGAAAATAAAATTAAAATTTTTAGAATATTATTAAATTTAAATCTTAAACTATAAATTAATTTGAAGAATAATTATAAAGAAATTATGCACTCTCAATAGATTATATATATACTCATTGTATCATTTTGTATTATTAACATAAAAATCATCTCTATACATTTTTTATTTCATTTCTTAATATGTTTAATCATTTTATTTCATATAATTTCTATTATCTTTTATTTGTACATTTTTATTTATTTTATTTATTGTTTTGTGTTACTTCCACAAAATTTTTTGCACATTCTAATGAATTTACATCAAAACATCATTCTTTTATAAGTTCGAGGCAACAAAAAATTGACTTTATTATTTGAATTTAGAATGTGTTTTTTTTATGAATTTCATTATTAAGTGAATTTCTTGTGAATCATCTAAACTTCAATATTTTGCCTTAAAATTATTCCTCATAAGAAATTTTTCTACACTAATATATGAATTTGTAGTTGATATATTATCAATCCATTTGTTTAAGGACGATCTCAATTAAAGATTTAAATTGAAAATTTCTTGAAATTAAATTCATTATCATATAATTCTAATTTAACATATAAAAAACTGAAAATGTCGATGAAACATGCCTAATGACACCAGAAAAATTTAATGCGAGTCCAAATAAGCCCAAATCAAGAGGTTAATCTTTGATTATAAATCGTATGATATTAATAGATGACTCAAATTAATTTGACTAGCTTGTTTTTAAAAAAAACATGTTGATAAGAAGAATCTAGCAAGTCTAAGACCACTTTGTTGTGAGGTTTTTAAGAAATTAAATGTTAAGTGAACAATCTATGATTAAAGAATTATGTACCATAATTATGTGAATATTTTGAAATTCCCCAAATCTTATTAATAGCATAACTACAAACAAAACAACGACAAATGTAAGTTACTTCCAAAAAAAATAAACTCACATTAACAATCACCAATAAATTAATTTATAAACATAAATATCTAAATAGTCAACGCAATAATGTGGAACAACGTCTCATTTACAAAAGCAATACCTAAACAATTCTGTTTTTCTAAATCATTTAGGGGCATTTCCATGCATAGCACTCAATTCCGATGGATTTCCTCATCTCACATCAAAACTTTCATTTTTAGACATATAGCACGCAATTATTTTCATATCTAATAAAAAATAGCCTAGTTACACTTTTTAATTGTGAAATTCACCTTTTCATACATAGGTAAAGTGAAATGCATGTAAATATCGAAATTTAGGTGTGACATGTAAATCCATAAGAATTGAGTGCTACGTATGTAAATTTCCCTTAAAATAAATTTATCACAGAAGTCACAAAGTTATAGATCTGTTAATTTTTTATTAATTTAAACGTGGGATGCATAAATGCAGTTATGCAGAATTAATTAGATAGTCGTTTGTAGTTCTACACAGAAAGAAATAAAGTCTTTAGCCGTCACTCAGCAAAGATTTCTAGAATAAAAAAATACTGAAGCTGATGAAGATAAAGTCGAAGCAAACAATAAATAAAAGAAAAAATTACATGTATAGCACGCAATTCTTATGTATTTATATATCTCACACCTAAACTACAATATTTACATATTAAGCACATTGATGCTTTAAACCTATGCATTGAAAATGTGTATTTCACTTTCAAAAAGTGATAATAGTGTTGTTATAGATGTGATATTAAAGATTTGAGTGTTGTTTAAATATAAAACTTTAGGTACGAGATGTGTAAAGATATAAGAATTTGGTGCAATGTATGCAAATAGCCCTAAATAATCACAGGGCAGAAAGCTCACCTGTTGGAAGAACCCTTTGCCGCATTAATCAATTCATCAGCAAGACACTCAGCAATTGTCTTAATATTTCGAAAAGCACTCTCACGAGCACCTGTAGTGAGGAGATATATTGCTTGATTAACCCGCCTCAGAGGGGAAATATCAACTGCCTGGCGCCTAACAACACCAGCAGATCCAATTCTAGTGGCATCCTCTCTTGGTCCACTGCATGTAAAGACGAATATAGAATATATGCGTTAACAAAAATGAAACTGAGAAAATCAGTATAAAATATCCTATGTTCCACTGAAATTGGTAAGCCATAAATACTCAAGTAGAATAAACTGTTTTGAAATATCACAAATCAATAAAGCACCAAACAAATTATGGCCTCGCTTAGACTTTCATTTGAACTAACTCAAATGTAAACAAAACATTATTTACCTGTTGATGACAGCATCAACTATGATTTGAATTGGGTTAGTATCAGTAAGGAGATGAATGATGTCCATGGCATGTTTAACAATGCGAACGGCCTTCAGTTTCTTCCCATTGTTACGACCATGCATCATCAATGAATTGGTCAACCTTTCAACAATGGGGCATTGTGCTTTTCTAAACCTTTTCACAGAATAACGTCCAGCAGTGTGTGGAAGATAAGTAGCATGTTTTGAAGGAGTCACCGCAATATAGTCAGCAAGTGACATGTCAGAAACCTGATACAAAGAAAGAATCAACAAAGCAAAAAACTTTTTTTTATGAACTGAATAAAATTAACAAAAAAATTCAAAACCATGAATAGTAGCACAATAAAAATACCAAACAATGGGTTCAATTGTTATTGCATAATCAGCATTTGTTTGACTTGGCTCTTGATTAGATAAATAACAATTAACTATAAAACAAAATTCCCAAGTCAGATCCTCTCCAGTTCCCTCAAACAAAATTTCCCCAATCAAGCATCTCTCTTCGGTTCACACATCTCCAAATCATGAAATAGAGATCCAAAGCTTTCCATCTTTTGCTTTCGAAAATATTTCAAAAAATATCTTTGATTTCTCCCACCTTAAACAATTTATAATTTATAAATTTTGAGACAATCCTGTAAACATTCCACGGCTTACCTCTCCCTGCTTATCTGCTCAATAAGTCAATTTCAAAGTAAGCTCTCTTATTTTTTCACATCTATTTTTTGAACCTCTTTTTCCTTTTATTGTTTATTCCTATATGCATTTCATCTCCCTAGAAATTCCCAATCCTAGTTTTTACTCTTTAGCCTATAACATACGAAGTACTCGTAGAAACTGGAGCTGCAACCTAAAATCAACCACTCTCAATGAATCGTATGTCCTAGTTTCCATTTATTTTGTTTCTAAATCTTGTGCTTTATTTGAATATTGTTTAACTATATAAGTATCAAATTATAAAATTAGCATAAAGGAGTTCCACTAATTCGTACATCTGGAACTTTTTTTTTGTTTTTCTTTTTTGGATAATGTACTTTTTTATTTAACATAAGAATAAATTTGTATTGTATTTGAATAATTTTAGCACGCATTTTCCAAATGTCATATGATTCTTATTGAAATTTATTGAATCATCCCATACTGGTTTATAAAAATTAAACAAAACTTCTCCAAAATACCATTTGTACTTTTTTAGCTTGAAATGTGAGGCAAAGAAAATTTAATTTACTAGATAATCATAACACATGTTTTATATTGTAGAGTGGTTGGACCTATACCAAATAATAGAACAGCAGTCGAATAATATAGATTCATATGAAAAAGGTAATGAACCATAAGATAATTCATTTTCATACTGCTACAAAGATAAAGCTTTACAGATGCTATTTTTAGGATTATAAAAAACAAATGTCTCAACTAGAAGGTCGTATTAATTTTAGAATTACTTTGGTATAGATATGTATAAAAATACACACATACATATAACATGATCCTTTTGTATGACATTCCAAATAATAAACATGCAAATAAAGTTTAAGCTCAAGACTACAAAATACCATCTTTGAGAACGGTTAATGAGAACTGGACAACAAAATGTTAACTACAATACTTCGTTTTAGCCAATATATCTACAGAGTAGTGTGTCAGTTATTTGTCGGCCAAGTACTCCATCATGCCTCAAATGTAAACAAAAATCAATCTTCACTTCAGTTAAGGCAAGAATAATTTGAAGTACATCAGTGCAGATTGACTCGCTGACTATTATTTGGGCATTTGCACTAGATTGGTATTTGTTTTTTAAGCTTTTGAACATTACCAATATAATAAAAATTGTTGAAATTTTCAAGATTATACACCAATTCCATACAAAGAACTTAAAATATTTTACCTAGAAATTATAAAATAATTATACTTGATGCATATGAATTTAAAATATAAAAAAGATATAAATAAATATATGAAGTGTGAAATTGATTCTCAAGCAAATCAAACTATAAAATTGTTTAAATCTAATTCTATTAAGCAAAATTATTTATTAGAACTCATTTGTAGTGATTTCTGTGATTTAAATAAAAATTTAGCTAGAGGTGGAAAAAGATACTTTATTATCTTTATTGATAATTTTTTAAAATTTTGCTATGTTTAGTTACACAAAACTAACTGTGAAGTTTTTGCTATATTAAAGAAGTATAAAATAGAAGTAAAAATTTTAATTAAATAGGAAAATTAAGATTTTAATATCAATTAGAGGAGGATAATACATTTGACTTGCAAAACTTGAGTAAACCTACAACAAACCTAAGGACTAGCCAGCAAAATAAGATTAGGATCTAAATTGACTTTTCTAGAAGGTCTAACCCACTAACAGCTCATTTTGGATTTAAAGGATAGTAGACCTCCAACCATGTCCTCCTTTTTAACGACCACATGTTTAAGGTCACATTCTTGACAAGTAATTTCAATCTTTCTTATGTTAATTCCTGAGTCAGTGGCACTCTCAATCCAAAACATATTAATTAGCATAATGAACAATTTGTTTAACTATTTTTTTATAAATGATCAGTTAGTTTAGTGAATAATTAATTATAAAATAGTATAATTAGAGAAAAATAAATATAATTTAATTAAGCTTAATAATTCTATAATTAACATAAATTTATATTTCGACTAACATATTTAAATCTTGAAATTAAATTACATAAATATTGTCAGTAATTTAACCTAATGAGCAATTATCTAAGAAATTTAAATAATAAACTAATGAATCAAATATATGAGTACGTGATTCACTCTAGCCAAACAGCTAATCGGTGATTAATTATTAAGTATTAAAAGATTGACTAAATTTGCAATACTTTAGTACAATGAAAATTAATTAATTTATATCATAGTAATGAAATAATCAAATTTTAATTACATTTATGTATTCTAACAAACCTATCAATTTTTTTAGTGGCCGTTTAGTAGCTGGTTTTAAGCATAATTTACACAGGATTTAGCATAAATCCTGCCAAATGTAAAAAAATGCCTTCATAAATCCCAAGGTCAAGTAAATCCCAAAATCACCCAACTTGTGATAAATATGGGATTATCTAAATCCTGTAGTGCAACTAATTTAACGGGATTTACAAAAAAATGAAACATCTCTCAGGTGGCATCAAGTTTACAGAGAAGCTCTTTTTCTTCACTGTTGTAGCTCGACAAACCATCATCGTCCTCTGCACTCTCCACCTCTTCGGTTTAGGGTTTGTAGGTAAATAAGTTGGAGAGTTTAGGGTTTCACCCTCTATCATGCCAACCTGGTCACCAAAAATGATTAAATTTTATGCATACCCATACCATCAACTATTGGTTAATTTCACTTAACATTGCTCTTCATGGGACCCAACTTGAGCTACTGTTATAATTGCTGCCTTGAGATGACATTGTTCATATTGTTGAAACTAAATCCTATTAAATCTGAAAAACAGTTTCTCAGGATTTATCAAAACTTACTAAAATATCAAACAGTTTTCAGGATTTAACCAATTCAGGATTTGATAAATCCAACAACAACAACAACAAGCCTTTATCCCACTAAGTGGGGTTGGCTACATGAATCCTATTTACATTAAATCCTACTTGCAGCCAAACAGCCCCTTAAATCCTCGCAGGAAATGTCAAAGAGTTTTACAGAATTTAACTGGATTTGTGAAATCTAGTGCTTATCAGCTTCTGAGATTTAATCATTTCAAGATTTACAAAATCCAGATTTACAGTATTTAGTAAAAACAAATTAACTTAAATGCCGGAAGTTGCCGAACTGTCCCACAATGGTTAAAGTTTCTTTCTGATCAAACTAGCTTATACATTAAAACTAATGATATTGGAAGTATTACCAGAAAATAAAAATAAAAATAAAAAATATAACTACACACGGTAAATTTTTATTATAAGCAGTAAGGTAGACGAGTGAAGCTACAGCCAAAAATATACAGATATCTAAGCAAAATTCTCATCAAATTAAATCATAGAATCATCAGTCGAAAAACACAGAGGCAAAAAATATTACTATTCAGCGCAGGATAGACAACCTGGCTACATAGATTTCACAATCAACTAAAAAAAAAAGAAATGGAACCAACAACATCAGATCCTTCGAAACAGAACTAATTAACATCAAATAGACCCTTAATGCCAAAATCATGATAGAAACGGGAGAGCAATGAGTAAAACCAACCTCGACTTCTTCGAAAGACCAACGATTAAAAAGTTTAACATCTGCAGGCGGAGCCAACCCAGAAGACGTTGCCGGTAATGGAATCGTAGGAGGAGCAACAGCCATGGCTTACGGTGGAGAGCGGCGCAAGAGAAACCCTAGGCGGTGTTTAGCTGCGAATCGGATTTACGTTAAACCCGAGTTATATATCGGGTCTGCAGACCGCGCAGAGGAAGGGGCTTTTGGCGCATTGGTCCGGTCCATTTTGAAAATAAGGACTAATCCTTTTGAAAATCTGTTAAATACATATGATCATAATAAGTTGTAAACCGCGAGTTTAATGTTGTGGCCCGCATTTTATTTCTCTTTTTTGACAGAGTTCAACTAAAAAAAAAAGAAATGGAACCAACAACATCAGATCCTTCGAAACAGAACTAATTAACATCAAATAGACCCTTAATGCCAAAATCATGATAGAAACGGGAGAGCAATGAGTAAAACCAACCTCGACTTCTTCGAAAGACCAACGATTAAAAAGTTTAACATCTGCAGGCGGAGCCAACCCAGAAGACGTTGCCGGTAATGGAATCGTAGGAGGAGCAACAGCCATGGCTTACGGTGGAGAGCGGCGCAAGAGAAACCCTAGGCGGTGTTTAGCTGCGAATCGGATTTACGTTAAACCCGAGTTATATATCGGGTCTGCAGACCGCGCAGAGGAAGGGGCTTTTGGCGCATTGGTCCGGTCCATTTTGAAAATAAGGACTAATCCTTTTGAAAATCTGTTAAATACATATGATCATAATAAGTTGTAAACCGCGAGTTTAATGTTGTGGCCCTCATTTTATCTCTCTTTTTTGACAGAGTTTCTCTCGACTGCTTCTCTCTCGTCTGCTCTAACTCTCGATCTCCCTCTTC